CTGGATGGACCTCGAGATAATCATGCTAAGCGAAATAAGCCAGACTGAAAAAGTTGAAAATCACATATCACTTATATGTGGGATATAAACCTAAAAGGAACAAATGACCAGGACAAACAGAGACTCAAGGACATGGACAATGGACTAATGGTTACCAAAGGGTAGGGAGTCGGGGAGGAGAGTCAAATATAGGGGAGTTGGGGGAAGGTGAAATGGGTAAAGGGGATCAAATATATGGTAGCTGAAGGAAACTGGACTCTAGGTGGTAATCACATTATACAATAATACATAGATGTCAAATTATAATGTACACTTGAAAATTATATAATTGTATTAATCAATGTTACCCCAATAAATTTTAAAAAAATCCCAATTTTAGGAGTTTCCTTATACTTCTACATTGTTTTTTCCTTTGACTATTTTTTTCATGACAAATGATATAATTTATAGAATGAAGAACACATACAGTACCTCTTCATCTAAAATTTTCTTTTTAAGATGGAAGCTCTTCAATTTTTGTATCATTGGGTCACTAACTTTCTCATTCTCTTTGATATGTTCAGCATTGGGATTGTTGATGCCCTAAGGGTAATAGTTTGAGAGGCTAGATTAAAAATTTTCCAGTAAAGCTAAAAGGAGGAAGGAAAAAACACAAATGAAACAAATCATCCTCTCAAAATAAGTGACCAAACTAAAGGAGATAAAAATAATATTAAACCCATTCTTAAATTATTCATCAGAAGACACCCATTAAAGGGCTAGTGTGGAAAGAATTCATATAGATTTAATTTGTACATAATTGTTATCGGGGCAGGTTAGTATAATTGCTGGGAGGTTAATACTCACCTATAAAAACTACACATGCTCATGCATTCATGCAAACGTTCCCTTTTTGTCTAGTCAGTTTACAAATTCAAATTTTAGACAAATTGTTGTACCTGACTCCAGAACAATCAGACATCCTCAAAGACACTGAAACTCTAGGTATTTCCAGGATACCTAGAATGAAGATACTTATACCAATATAAGCTAAGGGTCAAAAGTGCATGCATTGGAGTCAGACTGCCTGGGTTTGTATCTGAGTTCTGCCGCTTAACCATATGTGAGACTGGACAAGAAATTCAACTATTCTAAGCCTTAGTTTGTTATTCTGTGTTAAAAAAAAAAAAATAAAAAGCCTGATGATACAAACAACGGTACAATTAGATAAAGAGATAATCCATGAAAAGCAGGACTGATAAATTTAAATGGCTCCAAGGACAGGTTGAGAAGTCAGCAAATATTTATTGAGTGCCTATTAGGGGCTTAACCTGTGTCACATTTAAACTCTAATATTTAAAGACAAAACTTAGGTGGATACAGTCTGTGGGCCACCACTTTGTGCATATCACTGCAGAAAATGTTTAGCTCAGTTTTTAGCATTCAATAAACACTAGTATTCAACAAATTTTAACTGAAACAAAATAGAAATAAGGTTTGTGTTGGATGAGGAACATCACAAATCCATGCCCCCAAGCTTTAGCTCATATGAATGCACTTAAGAAGGAAAGTGGAAGAGAGCTAGCTAATTTGAGAATGCACTTAAGAAGGAAAGTGGAAGAGAGCTAGCTAATTTGAGAAGCGATCAAGTGTCATCTCCTATGTTCTCTCATTAAATGTAGTGCTTGTAAACTCCCAGGGCAGCAGCAAGTATCATCTGCCCTATTTAAGATGAAAAAATGAAAGCTGAGAAAGGTCGAATTACTTGGCCAGATCACACACCTGGGAAATGGTGAAGCCAGGATTCGAACTCACCTGACATTAACTACATTTTTCATTCTACTAATATACACAGGTTCACCCTGCCCTATCCCTGCCCCAAAGCTGGGTAAATAGTTCATTTATGTGAACAATCACTAATCACTACAACAGATTGACCCAGAAGATAAGACTATTGCTATGAGACAGCTTTCTTGAAATGTGGGAAGTACTAAATGAAGCATTTCATCTGATACCTTTATTTTTTATCTTATTATGTTACCTTACTGTAGACTTGTGGGAATTATGTGTTGAAGAAAGATTAATAGAAGTAGTAGAAGGAAAGAAAGGCTGATTGGTTGGTTTAAGGGTCTCCATTTTGTCTTCCATCTTTTTCTTTCATAACAATTCTGTCAGTTTACATTGCCTCTTTTGGGTTAGCCAATCTTAATATTGCTCCCCACCTAATAAAAAAATATGAATTCTTTTTATTACCTGGCATGTGAGATGTCCTACCATTGGAGCCAAAAGGTTGTAGACTTTGGAGGCCAGCTGAGTGTTTTTCACATCGGGGGGATTCATGTTCTCTTCTTCACAAGGTGAGCAATTCAGGAACAAATTAGAATGTATCATCTCTGCATCCTATATGTACATAATTCAGATTTGTCACAATAAAGACAAAGAATCTGGATTACTTTTTAAGTAAAATGCTGAATAAAATACCACTCGTAAAAACTTTGAACAGTGGTTCTCAAAATTTTAGATTCTCAGGACCCCTTTATACTCTTAAAAATTACTGAGGACCTCAAAAACCATTTTTTGTGCAGTTTATATCTATCAATATTTATTTCATTAGAAATTACAACTGAGAACATTTAAAAATATTTGTTTACTAATTTGCTTAAACAACAATAAATCTATTATGTGTCAATATAAATAATGATTTAATTAAAAAAACCACATTTTCCAAAAAAAATTAGTGGAGTGGTACTGTTTACATTTCTTGCAAATATTTTATTTATTTATTTATTTTAATTTATTTTTTAGGCAAGGCAAACTTTGGTTGACCTCACAGATTGCATAGACCTTGTCAGTTTACAATCCCTTACTTTTTTATTTTTTACACATGCAGCACCTGGTCTTCCTAGGTGGTCTCCCATCCAAGTACTAACCAGGTCCAACCCTGCTTAGCTTCTGAGATCAGACATCGGGCTTGTTCAGGGTGGCATGGCCATAGACTCTTGCAAATATTTTTAATACTGGCTTAATAGAAGACAGCTGGATTCTCATGTTTGCTTCATGCATTGTTATCAGCCATTAAAACAATTACACCATTACACATCACATAGTTTCTGGAAAACTCCACTATATGCCTGTGAAAGAATGAGCATGGAAAAGGCAATAATATTTTCAAATTACTATGAAAATACTGTTGACCTCACAGACACTCCCAGACCACATTTTGAGAAAATGGACCTAGAAGTTTAATGCAAAGTAAAACTAAAAGCAGAGTAAGAATGATTTTAGGATGCTAAAGAATTTGATTAGTCAAGATAAAACAAAGAATTTTACTAGTTTTTTTTTTTTTAAAGAAACCTCAACAAAATATTATATACTGTAATAAACTTTTATACAGTTATACTAATTCAGTCAGAGTTTACCAATTCAAAATTTGTCATGATTTGGTTAGCAGCTAAACTTAAAGTCATCTTTGCTTTGGTTACTGATTCTCAAAGTGTGATCCCTGGACCAGCAGTGCCAGTGAGACCTCGGAGCTTGTTAGAAGTACACATTTTCAGGCCCCACCACACAACTACTGAATCAGAAACTCTGGGGTGGGCCCCAACAATCTGTATTTTCACAGCTGATGTTGATAAAAGCTAAGGTTTGAGAACCACTGGCTTAGATAATCCTTCCTTCTTTCTGGAGAAAAGACCACAGAGAACATTTTTTAACCATAGAGAATAATATTTTCCTAAGAATCTTTAAAAATGGTAGAATTATTTACTTGCAAAGAATACGTATATATACTGATTACAGATTCACGAAAGCGAGTCCACTAAGGATATCTTCGAGGCAACATGACAGCTTGGTTCAAATTATTATAAAATATAAAAACAAACATACATTTTTCTAGTTCGGATTAGCCTTCTGTCTAAATAGAGTTAATAAAACTGTACTATAAATATTTTAAGGCAAGCCAATAAAACTGAAATAGATGTGCTCTGGCTTGTGAAATTTCTGTCTTCCAGGATGTGCTACCAGGTTGTCTGCCAAAAAAACCACCCGAACTGCAGAGATTAGCAAATTACAACCTCTCCAAAAATATTGATGAGGCTCTCCTCATGTTTTTAACCGATGTTAACTAGATTTATTGTGATCATTCTGCAATGTATACAAATATCAAATCATTATGTTATGCACCTGAAACTAATATGTCTCAATTATATCTCAATAAAAATGTTTATAAATTTACAAATTATTATATGATATAATATGGGTAAACCAAATATGCAATTGAATTATTCATTTTTATTGTTGAATAGGCAGACATGGTATGAAAAGATTGAGATCCCCACTTAGAAGTACCTTTTCTCAAAGAATGCTTCAGAGCTACTCTGGTCAGGGGTACTCACAAAATTCTCATGCTCATTTTCACTTCCACCAAAATAATCACGAGGCCAGAAATGGCTGTCCTCTAATGTTAGTACCCAAGAACCAAAGAACCTCCTCCACATCTGTAGTGTATTTTCCATTCTATCTCTCTTTTTGGTTAATAATTCTTTCTACAAACAAATTTATGTAAGTGCCATGCCTAAATATGCATTACCAGACTTTTAGAAACTCCTGAAATTCTGCATTAGAGGTTCTGAATTTGTAACAATACCTTTGTGATATCTGACTCCATTGCTTCCTCTAAGTGCTCCTTTAACTGAGCTGTCTCAAATTTAGAGACAGAATTTTGCTCCTCACTCTTTGCAACCTGCTGCTGAAGTTGTGCATTTTCATTTTTTACTTTGTTGATCTGCTGCTGAAGTTTTATATTCTTAGCCCTTTCACTTTCAGATATGAATTGCAAATTTTTAACTTCTGCTACCAGTTTCTCAAGTCTAGATTTCAGTTTCTGTCTTTTTTCCAGGTTTTCATTTTCACGTTTCTGATATTCTTCCTGTAAAGACAAGAACTCTTGTTCTTGAGCTTCTTTTTCCCTTTTCAACAAGTCCAAAGCAGAAGAGGAGGCCTTTTCCAAGTCTCCTTTGAGTTGCTGCAGCCTCTCTACCTCTTCTTCTTTCTTGCTTAAGGCTTTATCCATCTCTATGCACTGACTAACAGTTTTATTTTTTTGTTGCATTTCAGTTATGTACCTTTCCTGTAGACAAACATAATTGTCCTTGATCCTTTTAAGCTCTATCTGTAAGGTTTCCTTTTCATTTCTCGATTCCTGAAGATGTTTTTGGGTGTTAGTTAAAATGTCATGCAAATTCTGCAATGTTTTGTCAGTATCATTCTTCTCTAGCATTACTCTGTATTTATCTTCAATTAATGCTTCAGCATTCTCCTTTAGTTTATTTATGATGTCCATGAACACTTGCTGTTTGGTAGTCTTCATCTGTAACAGTTCCTCAACCTTCTTCTCTAAATACATGTTACTACACTGTAGGTTTTGGATCAGAGTTTGCTGCTTCTGGTTACTATGTTTTAATTTCTGTAAAACTTCATTTAAAGCTATAACTTCTTCCAGAGGTTGTAAGATTTCCCAGCTTTGCTCTGTGTCAGGTATTTTGCAGTCCTCACCAGATGCTCCACCACTCCAAGAAATGCCCTCAGAAGAACAAGTTGAAAGAACCCCTGGACTTTCCATGCCCTCCACTGTGACTTCCTTTTGGTGACTGACTGACATCTCAGGAATCTCCCCAGAATTTTGTGTTCCTTTTGAAGAAACAGTAATCTGTAAATTATAGTAAAAAGTGTGAAAGAGTAGAATTATCATGAACTGTGAAGTCAGAGCCGACCTTAAATTGTACATCCCTCGTTTGGTTTCCTTAGCTGTAACATAACAACTATAATATCTACTTCCAATAATGACACTCATTTAACAAAGATACTTACATATTAATTGCTAAATGTATGTATAGCACCTAGTAAGATAGCAGAGCACAAACAATATAAGATAGCAGAGCACAAACAATAGGTATATGATAAAGATATGTATCACATTTATTTTTATAAAATAAAAATTAAACATTGATTCTCTTACCATTTTCTATGATGCAAATGTTCTGGACACATATAAGATACTTACTTTGACCACATAAATTAAAACAAATTTTTCAATTACCCTACAGTCTATGAGCCCTCTTTTGAATAAAGGTTTTTTTTTTAATTCCTCATTAAACCATTACCTCACTGTGCTACCACTTCTGTGAACGTCAGAATGCCAGATGAACATGTCTTGCGATTGATTTTTTGGACACAGTACAGGTTTTGGGGGGTTTAAAAGAGACAGTAAGTTGTAGTTTAAAAAAACGCTGAAATGAATATGACATAAAAACCCAGTAAAAGATCCTGGTAGAAGTAGACTGTATAACTTTCCTGGATACTGGACCTCTGTATTTTAATATTTCTCCGTTGTTCTGAGGCAAAGACAACTATCCTTACGAAGGCCTACAAGGTCCTGATATCTGTCTGATCTGAGTATCTGATCCATGCTACCTCTCCATCCTCATCTACTATATTGCTCTTGCTCCCTCCAACCCAGCAACCCTGGCCTTCCTTCAGGTCCTAGTAGGGAGCATGCTCCCTGCAGCCACAGGGTTTTTGCACATGTTACTTTTGTGTGGGATGCTCTCCCACCTCTGCTTACCTAATTAACTGCTACTCATCTTTCAGAGCTTAGCTTAGTTCTCACTACATCAGGGTAGCCTTCTCCAAACTCCATCTTACTTTTATTCATAGGACTTAACATAACTGCAAGTTTATACTTAATTTTATATAATGTTATATATACTTTACGTACATTTTATATAAAAGCTTTATTCATGGTACTTACTATAGTTGAAAATTTACATTTATTTGTGTGATTATTTGATTAATATCTATTTCCTCTACCAAGATGTTATTTTCATGACAACAAAAACCACATCTTTTTGTTTTTTTCTAATTTGTGTTTTTAACCATTATCTAACACATAGCACAGGGCCTAGCCCATAATAGATGCTTGAAAGTATTTATTGACTGAATGCAATAGAAATAAGGAATAATTTTGGGAAATTCTAATTAAACAGACTTTTAATGTCATTTCAACATAGAGAAATAAAGCTCTCTTTTAAATGCTCTTCCAAATCAATAAACCAACAACAACAAAAAAAACAAACTGGTTATACTTGCAAGTGAAACATAATAGTCATAGCTTTTCTCATCAAACTCACAATGAAAAGGTGTTATTTATTCTATTCTTTATTATATCTATTTGCCCACACAAATTTTTAAAATTTTTATTTTTATTTTGCTCAGAGCACACAGAATTTATTATATCATTGGTATTTTCAGTGTTATTGGGATAATACAGGTATGCCCAGAATCAATAAATTAAAAGAGAAATCAATGTTTTCATTTTGGTAAAAAAAAAAAAAATTATTTTTGCTAGTCAATACAAATCCCACATGATAGAAAAATCTTAAGCTTTCCTTGTCAAGTAATTTAATACCTCTGCACTTCTTCCTTTGCAAATTTTTTCTTAATGTCAACTCTGAGTACCAACCAATTGAATATACCAAATACAAAAGCTCATTATAGTCAAGGCACCGTGTAGATGCTAAGGAGCATAAAAGGAGTAAGACAGAGCCCTGATCCTCAAAGAAATTATCATTTGGTAGAGCTAATCTCCAAGTATGGACTGGATTTTATTAGAAAAATTTGTTTCTACATTGATCGAGACGTGGGAAGGCATTTTCCACAGAGAAGTAATGTCGCTTGTGCTCATTAGATGACTGATCACTACTTGGAAAGTCTCTGATTATATACCTTAAAAAACAAAACAAACACTCTCAATAGTCTACAGGCTATACTGACCATCAAAAATCTTACCTCCTTTGTTTCATAATCAGCTCTCATGTCAAGCAGGTTAAAGCTATTGTCTCTATAAAATGGTTTTTCAACATCACTATGTATATATTCTTTACACAAGAAGATTTGAGGTTGACCAGGGTTGAAGACAGATTCCTTGGCAGTATTTTTAGCCAGTGACATTTCTGTGAATTTCAATGTCTCTTCACTGCAGTGGATTGGAGATAGGCTTCTAGGAGGTTGCCTGACACATTCATGAGCAAGTTGGTCCTTGTATGTGGAAGTGTCAGTTCCCACTGGATTTTCTTCTTTAAATGAATCTTCCTTTATGTTGTTGTCTTTTGCATAATTATATACATGACTTTGCAATTCTGGCTTCTCGGTGTAAGGAAAGCCACCTGTCAGATTTTGAAATGTTATCACTTCATCATTAAATGCTTCTGTCTCATGAAATTTGAAAATGGGCTCAAACTGTCTGGAGGAAGAAATGCTGGTGTCAGTTGGCTCAGTTAGTACATCCTGTGAGTAATTTCCATTGTTGACATCTCATTTGAAAGAGAAAGATGGAAATAAGAATTAGCTGAGCATTAATGTATGTGTTAACAGTTATATTAACATTTATAAAATAAACTTTTGAACTTTTTATGAATTATATATAGTTCAACCTTTTGCACTGAGTGGATTTTAGCATGGCTTCGTGCTAGCCAACAAAACAACTTTTCACATGGGGAAAAGAAATTCTCAAGTGACTGTACAAAAGCTTGTTATATATCATTTTGGTCAAATACCATTACAACAAAGAACAAGATATCTTCACAATTCTTTCGTTGTACTATAATTTAAAAATGTTTTAATTCTAAAACGTTTCAAAAGAATACAAAAACACAGTGAATAGTATAATAGCAAATACACATAAACTTATTTAATCTCACAACAATCCCATGAGATCAGTACTGTTATCCTTGTTTTAGAGAAGGAAACTGAGACATAAGAGATGTTAAATCACCTGTCTAAGGTCACAGAGCTGGTAAGATTTTAGAATACTACTTCTAAATAGTATGCTATATACGGTTTCTCAATAAGACAAATTACCCAGATTTAATACATTTTTAAAAATCAGAAGCAAATAAGGCAAAATAGAAAGAAATAGTGTTGCAAAATTAATGACTCCTCCCTTCTAACTTCCTTCCTTTCTCCTTCCACAGATGTAACCGCTGTTACTAAAGCCTGTATGTATTCATTCTTTCCATTCATATTATTCTACTTTTGGTACTCATGTGTACCCTAAATAATATATATCAAGTTCCCAGACTTTCTCATCCTGTGACACCTTAATGTCTCAGTAATTTTTTCACAGAACCCCTAGACCAAAAGAAGTACCTCACAGTTCCAATTGTGAAGTAGTTAAGCTCAAACAACTTAACAAGTATTTGTCCTAACAACTTAATAGATGTTTCAAAATACACAAAAATTGAAAGAAAAATGTAATATTTTATTTCATTCTTAAACAACCAAACTTACTACTTGAATATACTATTGAATCCCACATGTCTCAAACCTTGGAATCAAATTGAACAAGGCGAACCCTCGCTTCCTTTTCCACCTTGATTTTTGTGCAAACTTGCTTTTTATCATAGCATCCTACAAAAAAACAGCTTTGCAAATAAGGTGTTATAGAAAGGACTGTTACAGAAATAGTGAACTATCTCAAGGTAGTAGTTTCTGGGGTCCAACAGATGTCCAGTACCACTGTTTCTTTCAAATTTCAAAATATCTTGCAACACCCTGGACAAACTGAATACAATATTGTTCTCTGTTCTACAATTTTATGTAAATAGCATCATTATATATACATATATACATACTTATATATAATTTTATCTTCCTATTTGTTTAATATATATACAGAACATCTGAAAAACTGGAGTAGACTCAGAGAAAGGAGAAATATCAGTAACTTAAGACATGAAGAGACATCATCTCACTGGCAGAAAGTAGCAATGATTTGAAACGACTTCTGATGAGAGTGAAAGAAGAAAGTACCAAAGCAGAACTGCATTTGAACATTTAGAAGACAAAAATCATGACTATAGGAAAAATATGCAATTTTAACATAGACAATGGAGATATTGGAATTGTTAAAGATTTTTTTTTACCTTGGTTCAGTCATCAATTCAAATGGAAACTGTAGCCAAGAAATTAAGAGAAAGCTGACTTGAAGGGCAGCAATGAAAGAATTAGGAAAGATCACCAAAAGCAAAGATGTGTCATTAGGATACCAAGGCTGAGATCATCCACACCGTCATATTCCCAATTATTATTTACGAATGTGAAAGCTGGACAGTGAAGAAGGCTGATAGGAAAAAAATTCATTAATTTAATATATGGTGTTGGAGGAGATCTCTACAGATACCCTGGACCACCAGAAAGATGAACAAGTGGGTCTTAGAACAAATTAAGCCTGAAACATCACGAGGCAAAAATGACAAAATCGAAGCTGTCCCAGTCAGAGTGCATCATGAGAAGGCAGGGTTCTTTGGAAAAGACAATAATGTTGGGAAAAACAGAAGGCAGCAGAAGAGGAAGATCAAATATGAAATGGGTTGACTCCATAAAAGAAGCTGTAAGCATGAATCTAGAGGAGCTCAGCAGAGCTTTTGAGGACAGGACATTGTGGCATTACTCATTCATAGAGTCATCAGGAATTGGAGCTGACCCGACGACACATAATAACAATACATATATCCATGTGTGATTATTTCACTTAAAATTTTGCTTTTCATACTTATCCATGTACATACATGTAGATCTAATTCATTTTACTGAAGAATTACACTTTATTTCTTTTTTGTTGAACATTTGTTTCTAATTTTAAACAGCTATAAAAACAACACTACAACGAACATCCTTATACACATTTCCTTGTACGCTAATTTAAGAATTTTTGTCTGGGCTTTGGGTACATATCTAGGAGTGGAATTGCTGGATTATAGAAAATATATATCCTCATCTTTACTAGATATTTAAAAATACTCTCCAAAGTAGTTGAACCAATTTATACTTCTACCAATAACTTATATAAGAGTTCCTTCATTATACATCCCTCCAACACATCAAACTGATATGTATGAAATGGCATTGTGGATTTTTAATGTATATCCTTTTAGGTATTTAATGCTCTTATAGGTTTTCTTTTCTGTGATCTGCTTCCTAGATACTGTTATGGACTAAATTATGTCTCAAAATTCACATATTGAAAGCTTAACTCTCAGTACCTTAGAATGTGACCATATTAGGAAATAGGGCTTAAAGGAGGTAATTAAGGTTAGATGAGGTCATAAGGGTCAGGCCCTAATACAATATGACTGGTGTCCTTACAGGAAAAAAAGATACCAGGGAGACACAGAGAAAAGGCCATGTGAGGATACAAGATGGCAGCCATCTGTGAGGCCTCAGGAGAAACCAACTCTGCAGGCACCTTGATCTTGGACTTGCAGCCTCTAGAACTATGAGAATATAAATTCAAATTGTTGAAGCCACCCAGTCTGTGGTATTTCTTTATGGCAGCTCTAGCAAACTAATACATATAGGTTGCCCGTTTTTCTATTGAGTTATATGTCTTTTTCTTATTGGAGTTCTTTACTATTTCTTTGTTAATTGCATATATTACATAAATCTTAGATTGTGGCTTTTTTTTTTACTTTGTTGATTATAATTTGGTCACAGTTTTTTAAATTTTATTATAGTCAAATATGTTGATTATGTATTTCTTGTGTTACTCCCTGAGCCTCACTTTTCTCATCTTTAAAATGTAGATAAAAACAGCCTTTTTTACAAAAGGAAAAAAAAAGCCCTACTTCATGGGACTGTTTGTGGATTAAATGTGATAATGTATATAAAAAGCTTAGCACACTACCTGGCCATTATTATCACAGGGCATAAAAAAATATTAGTTTCTCTGTTTGTATACTCACCATCTAATGTATCATCTAGTGTGCTATAAATTTCTTCAGAAAGTTTAGATTCATTTTCCTTTTTTACATTCTTTATTTCGTTCTGTATTAATAATAAGGCATTAATATTAATACTTCAAACAAACATCATAAGCCTCTTCCAAAGGTATAAGTACATTGCTATGCAATTTTTGTTAGTATTTTTTGTTGTACAGGTGGGATGTGCTTCCTAGTATCTTTCCCCACTGTATATTTAACCTCCCTTTTAGAAAAATCATGCTAATAAAGTTACAATACTAAATGAGAATTAAACAAGTATCTTGCTATTTTAACATTTTGGTTTTTTAGTAAGTCAAATCATGTTCCTGTATACGTAGCAGTATATGATAACCTATATATCTCTTACTGATAATTCTTTGATGTTTGTTAAATGTGGCCTATATGACATTAGAGCAATTGTCATTCAAGTTTTTTAACATTAAGATATATAAAACAGGGTTCTAGTAATGAGGTGAGATCTGATTCCAGTAAATAGAAATCTATAAAAATTCATGTAGGGTTTATTCTCAGTTACCTTAATGTTATCTAAGATGAAAGAGCTTATTAGTAAAGTAATATTATAAATAAGATAGTAAGGAAAATATTTTAAATGTTTAATGAAAACATTGGTTTAATCATTAATAGTATATTAAGTATGTGGACCTAAATGATGCTCTCAAAATTTCTTATTTCTTTTTTAAAGTCAGCTGGTTGAAGACCTCCATTCAATATACTTTTTATAGCATTGTTCCACTTATTGAATGTACCTGAAGTACAATAACTGAGTTATATTTTATAACAATCTATCTTTTAGACTTGTTGCTAATTCAGACCATTCATCCTGATTAGATTTTTCAAGTATCGAGAATAATATACTTGAAAAATAAAATAGCACTATTCACATGTATTGATGTTTTTTCTACAAACTTCTTGGAACTCCACTGCTCATTGAATTTCAGAGATCACTTCTAACTCTAGTCTTCTATGACATTACTGTTTTTAACCAAAATATGCCTTTTGTGCCTTTGGTCTATAAATTTTTTATAAAGAATAAAATGGTCAGTGAAATCCAAGAGGGAAGATCACCTTACATAAATGATTTAAGATATTCATTTTTTATAATTTAGTACATAGTATTTTTGGACACTGATCAACACCATAATACTATGACCCATTTTTTTCAAAATGAAAAGTTTTTTAAAATTATAAACGGAATCTTGAACATTGTTTAAAAAGAAAAGAAGGTATACTCAAAAGCTCACTACATAGTAAAAAGCAATGTGACCATTTTCCCATGTCAACAAATATATATCTATATTATCATATTTAAGGTTTATATATCCACTGTACATATATACAATAATTTAACTAGGCCCCTACTGATGAAAATTTAGGTTATTTCCAATGTTTAGTTATTATTGATAATTCTTCAGATATCTCACTTGAATACTTTATAAAGGCAAAATTAAAAATAAAATGTACAGTTAAACTCTTGATTTCCTATCATTAAACAGCCCTTTAGAAAGGTTATGCTAATTTATGGGTTGAACCATATGGAACTGTCAATACTTGTCTGTTTTTGAACTACAAAAAGGTAATTTTATGTGGCAAAACCAAATGAATTCCTATTATTCCCCTACACTCTTGCCAATAATTGTCAACATTTAGAATAACATTCATGAAGATCCTGGGACATTAAAATTTCTTTTCTTTTGTGACAAATGGCACTAGAAATTTTCATGAAGATAGGAAATCCTTTACATGGCACTGTCAATGTCATTATGAACAACATTTGAAACATCTGCGTGCTGACATAATGGAAGATATTCCAGACTAGATTTCAGGCTCCTTGGGTTCTTGTCCTGCCTCAGTGACTAAGTTGTTGTGGCATCGTCCCCTAGCTATACTTATGGAACTTCATGAAGAGGCTAAAAAGGATGTTTTAACATTCTATTTGTAAAATTCTACCTTTCTTGTATACTAGTGGAACTGAGAAAACCAGACCCTGTATTCCCCTATTCTATGCCCCCACTGAAGATTCTATTATTCCTTATATTTGTGAAGAAATTTTCATATGGAAGACAATGTAAATGTTAAGTACATCTGTACCTCCCAGAACTTTTAAGCAATGCACACCTGAGACAAGTCTGAAGCAGCAGTGTTGGTTTCCATGTAGAAGGGAGAATTTGAGTGAGTTAAGTCTTGAGAAAAACTGCTAAAATTCATGGCATCTGCTTTTGACATACTTTCTAATTTTTCATGAGAACCATCCACTTGAAAATGTACAGGATCTGCAGGTGATCACCAAACTTTTTGATGGTCCTTGTTCCTATTTGTTGAATGTCGAAGGCCTTTTTAAAAAAACATAATTTTAATGTCTATTAGTATATGCAAACAAAAAATGTTCCTTCATCCCTTGTTAAAGGAGCAGAAAAGTTCACTGTCCTAAATTTTAAAATGTCATTTGTCAAGTTATTGGAAAAATAAAAAAATTTAGTCTGAGTACACCATGGTAACTTTGTATAGTAATATGAATTTAGAAAAGAGCAAATCAATATGTATGGCTACTAGTCAATAATTACCTAAAAGATGTGAATATCCAGAAGGTGAAGGGATCTCTAAGTTATTTAATCAAAAGATATTCACCAAATATTATCAGAGATTAAGTTCCACCAAACACTGTATTTCTATTTACTTGACACCTGCTATTCGAATTTCTCAGATGCAACATTGTAAACCTACCTTCCCTCACTTCCCTATGCCACACTTATCCTCTCTGGCACTTGGGTTTGAAAACTTGGCATCCTTCTACCTCATTATCCATGGGCTATTCAGTTACCAAGTTCTGTTCATTTCTCCTTTAAAAACGTTTTTCGTAACTCATGCTTTCTTTCCATCTCTTATGTCATCGCACTGGTCCATATTCTCCTGACTCCTCAGGTCTGTCAGGGGATGGGAGTGGAGACAATGTCCAATCACACTGACTTCAAATTCTGCTTGAGTTTTTAGGTCTTCCATATCCTCCTTAACTACCCAGTACTCCCTCTGCTTTAGTGAGATCAGGCTCACTTCTCTGTAAATAGATCATGCTCCTTACCACTTCTACAGTCTGCCCTGTCAAGTGCTTCTCTCCTAAAACCTTCCTATCTACCTGTTCATTTATTTTTTAAACTCCCTCAAGGTCTTTCCATCTCATAATTCAGCACCTATTTGTTCTGTTTTAGTATTAACCATTGTTTCAAGGGTGTCACTGTTTGTATTTACAGATTATACATACTTCAAGAAGTCCACTTATGGTTTTTCAATATTCCCTACAGCAAATGGAGCAGTGTTGTCCAGAGTGAATGTTAACTTATTAAATCCTGCATTCTCCATTATTTCTATTAAATCTTCTCAATCTATAGTCACTACTCATTTGCCTGGATTATTTTATTCAATTATCAAATTAGTAAATAATTTATTGAGGATTAATTTTTTCCAACATGTCATCCTTTGGTAAAGTATAAAAAAAGCCACTGGGCGAAGCAGGCTAGTTAGCATTGGTGAATGGCTCAACTTTATGCTTATCTTCTTCTTCTTCTCCGACACAGAAATGCTGCCTGGGCTGTGGTGAAGGGGATCTGAAAAAAATCCTTGCTGTTTTCCAAATGCAAAAAACGCAAGGGCCTTAGTTCTTAAATTTTTGTGAACCCAGACCTTACATTTACATTTTTACAACTTTGTTCGTGTGACACGGTCTGCCAATTTACTTTTTTTTTTTAAGTTAGGTTTACTTCTTCCATCCTTCTGTCCTTACCAGATTTACGTTAGACTTTTAAAATATTTATTCAAATGTTTCGATAGCTATTCCAGAGACACCGTAAAGCTATTTTAAGATAGATGTTAGGAGCGCCACTGGAGTTTTTGGCCCAAACTCTGAAGTTTTGTTTCTAAATGATTTTCAGTCGTATGACAAACTTTAACTTTCTAAAAGCACTTAACTCATTTTCACCTCGAAACAGTGCACCAAACTCTTTAATTCACAAAAGCGTGCTCAGTTCCAGGGTCCATGCAGTTTCTTGGATCCACAATAAGGATTTCATGCTTCTTCACCCTGCACTGAGTTTTATGGGAGGGAGAACACTTTTCAGCCTTTCCCACGGACTAAAAACTCGCAGTTGAGATACAGGCGCGCTGGAACATCCCTGTGTGACGTCCGCCCACTCCAGCCAATCTCGGTGGGGAACAATGCCAGGTTCCCACCTCAGCGCGGACGCGGCCTAGGTGAGGGGCGCTTCGCAGTTGGGAGGTTATGTGGCTGTGAGCCCCCAGTTCGAACAACCTGTGGGTTGTCTGGCGCGTCCTTCTGCAGTAGGAAACACAAAGCCAGTTATAGAAACTAAAAGCTCCGGGTGGAACTGCCGGTACAGGGTCAGCCGGTTAGGAAACTCGAGTTGACACTCCCACCGGCTCCTCTCAACCGCTAAGCGCAAGCTCTACGCTTTCAGTCCCGCGCGGGGGAGGAACTTCCGGTATGACAAGGTTCCCTGGAGGGGTGGGTTTTCCGCTCGAGCGCGGTGCAGCGTGCCAGGGCTTTAGGTCCTACAGCTCAAAGCACGTGGCGCGCGCTTTCGGCTAGAGGACTTCTGAGCGATTTGCTAGGCGGGCGTCCGCGGAGAAGCCGTTAGGTAGGCCGCAGGTGGAACCGTCTCTGTGAGATTCCAGTCACTGCTCGGGGCAGGTGGCCTCCGGTGGCGCAGAAGCTCTGCGCGCTCCATCATGGACTACCGGCGGCGGCTGATGAGTCGGATAGTCCCCGGGCAGTTCGACGACGCGGATTCCTCCGACAGGTAGTCGGTGGTTGAATACGACTCCTTTGGGATTTTGCTCTTTCCTTCGCTGCCGGTCCCTTGGAGACTTAACACTCTTTTGATAGTTTAGAGGGAGACTTGGTATTTAATAACTCTGGGGCTCTTCACAGCCTTTCGCATCGTTCTTTGTCCCAGCGGTGAGTTTCGTTCCAGTTTACGGTAGTGTTAATGAAAGCCCGTTTGTCAAGAGTCCAGGGTTCCCAGGTTGGTTAGCATCTCTGAGAGGCAGTGGGGAAAGCGATTAGTAAACAGATTGTTGTTGCGTTTTAGCTACATTCGGCGTTCAAAAAATGTGCGAGCACCTACTATGTGCCAGGTTCTGTCTATAGTGATGAACAACACAAACTAAATCCCTGCTATCATTGAATTTTACCTTCTTGGGAGGCAGGGCAGGCAGTTAAGTACATAGAGATATTTAAAAACTAAAATGCAGATGATACGTACTATGCAAATAATTAACATCAGTTAATAGACTAAATTATAATTTAGTCAGGGAGGGATTAAGTCCAGATCTGAACAAGAATGAGTTAACCAGCCGGTTCAGGAACAGGGCACAGCGAGTGCAAAGTCCTAATGGTGGGCTACGTCTTGGCTGTGAAAGGAAGATCTAGAGGTCATTGTGCCTAGAGCACAGCTGAGTACTTGAGAGGATTAGAAAGTAACAAACAATATAGAAATGAGATGGAGCCAAATCTTGTAGAGCCTTATGAGTGATGGTAGGGAGTTGAGATATTATTCTAGGACTTATAGAAAGCCATAGGGATTTTAGCAGGGGAGTGAAATCATCAGATTTATAACTTAAAGGAATTGTTCTGCTATGAGGAGGATGGTTTTAGAGGGCAAGATTGAAAACAGTTCAAAAGTAATAAAGTAATTCAGTTCAAAGATGACAGGAATTGAAGATAGGGTCATAGGGATATGTTTTTGAGGTAAAAGTGATTGAATGTGGGGTATGAGGCCAAAAGAATAAAGAATAACTTTTACTTAAAAGCAAATAGAACAATTATTTTGGAATTCCAAGAAAATAGTTTTTGCTTTATGTTTACAGTAAGGTTTCAATACATGTAAATTTTATTAATCCATTGGAGATCCTTTTGTAAATAATTTTGTTGATTGCTTTCTGTGTCAGATCTAGTGTTAGTTGGTAGGGATACATTAGTAAATACCACTCTGACATAGAGCTTGCACTCTAGCTGGGGAAACATATTAAATAATTAGATAAATGGTTTGTATTAGAATTGGATAAGTAGTACAAAGGAGAAATGGGTGAAGAGTTGAGAAGACTTCCCTGAGCAGGTGATAGTAAGCCAATACTGGAAGGACAAGTAGGATTTAGCCAGAGAATTGAGAAGTGCTTTCCAGATTTGTTTCCAGATGAGCATACAGATGGATTTAGAGAAGTTAAGGAGAAAGAAGAAACACAGCCATTGTGGCTGGTGAATAGTTAATGAGCGTGTACTGGTTTACCATCTGTCAGTGGATATTATAAAGATATAAACCAATGGATTTAGCCCCCACACCCATCCCTCTAAGGACTTTGGGCAATTTCTGGAGACGTTTTTGTTTGTCACAACTGGGGATAGTGGTGCACTAGTAGCATCTGGTAGATAGAGGCCAAAGATACTGCTAAAAATCCTGCAAAGTACAGGAAAACCTCTCACAACAAAGAATTGTCCAGCCAGAATTGAGAAGCTCTGGTACAATTGAAGGTACAACTTTTACATGCCACTCTAGGTTATTGATAAGTGAAGGATCACTTTTTAGATTATGTTTATGAAATCCTAGTTAATAGCAGGTGCTTAATGATTATTTGTTCTCTTCCCACCCATATCTATAGAGATTTGGAACCTTGTAAGCCATGGCTAATTAATAAGTCAAGATTGATCATCTGAATCAACATAAACTCATATCTGACTTTTTAAGCTGGTAGTGCATATTATCAATTGTTTTATATGGTTTTTGTCCTTGTTCTCTACGTGAGAGGTCAAAACTGGTAGTACCTCTGTTGAATCTGACCTGCAGACATGTTTTGTTTGGTACGCACAGTGTTTTGTTAAAATTGATTGTGCCAGGTAAGTAGGATTTCACACGACAATCCAGATTTCTGGCTTCTCTTAAAAAACTAAGAAGATATGGTAACACTGTGTCTGAATTCTCACATGGCAAAAACAGATTCTATTAGTTGTGATCTCTATTCTGGGCCTGTTCTCTGGGTTTGATAATCCCCACGTCTGTTTAATTATACCCAGCCTACTTCTCTCATTTGTGGTGCTTGTATTCACCATTCCTTCCCTTCACGAACAAAGATGATTTGATTTGTGTGTCGCAAATCTTAAATACAGCAACTTTCGTTGTAAAGTGGTATTGAGTTCAAGATAAGGCTGCTTTAGACTTGTTCTTAAGTTTTGTCAGAAAGCTTTTTTCCCTTCTTGATGAAGCTCTGTGAATGAGTTTCCTAGAGTCAGGTCTAGTGTACTGATCAGAGTGAGCTTATTCAGTAAAGAAGATAACAATATAAATTATAAGGCAGAAGTGAATTTAACCCCTGTTGTACTCCTTTAGTAGGACCTGGAAAATAAGCAAAGAACTGGAACCAAACTCTGAAAAACAGGAGAACTTGGTATTAAGATTGAGTTTCTTGGGAGACATGCTGTAAGGGAACCTTTTAGATTTATTGACATAGATTTAGTCTATTATAGAGTATGTATAAACATGCTAAAACATCGTTACTTTTAGTGAAAACGTTGACTTGAAGACAATCAAAGAGGAAGATGGAATTCTCTTTGAAGACCTTCGAAAGAATATAAATGAGAAGATGAGTGAAGGTGAGGTAGAAAATGAGGAGGAGGAGGAGGAGGAGGAAGATTATGATGACGATGATTGGGACTGGGATGATGGAGTTGGAAAACTCACCAAGGGTTATAACTCAAATGGAGGGAGTAATCCACAGGTATTTTATGAATGATTCTATATACCTTTATGTTATTTATTATGTCTTCTTTTTTTAAAGGATTTTTTGTGATTCTGGAATTGAGTAACTGATTTTCTTCAGGTTGTAATCATAATCATTAAATTTTAAAAGTTATTAAAATTGTCCTAAGATAATGAGCTTAAAAATCTTCATGGGAAAGGACAAGAATAGGCAGTTTTCTGCAAATGGTTAAGAAACATGGAGAGAAAGTTCAACTTCATTAGTAATTAAAGAAATGCAAATTAAATATGTAGAGATGCCATTTTTTTTACCTGTGAAACTGACATAGACACAAAATATGTAATTGATGGTCCAGCAAATAGGTACAATTATTTGGAGGATAAACTGGTATTTAATAAAAGCTTTAAAATAATACTTCGACTCAGCAATAATTCTAAGAGTGTACCAAGACTTGTTACACGAATGATCCTCCATTTTTGTTTCTAGTAAAGGAATGTTGTAAACAACCTTGATTAAATGTATTATGGGGTTGGTTCACACAATGGGATATTATTGCAGCCATAAAATATGTTACAATGGAAGACTATATTAATGACATAGAGATATGTTTATAATCTGCTATTTTCTACCATGTGCAAAACACGTTACCAAGCCATGTAGAGCCTACTTCTCAAACTGGAACTACCAAGTGTTAGGTGTTTGCAGAACCATAGGATTAACATGGTACATCTTACTGGAACATAAAGGTTTCTGAAAAAATATGGAGAGAGGAAAAATAAAAAATATTTCTTTGAAAATTAAAACAGCTGTATTGTGGACTAAAATGCATACATTTGAAAAACAACCAAAGAAATTTTATACTTGTCTTATTTTGGAAACACCTCTGTTGATTGGTGAAACACAGAGCAATTTCAATGTAGAGCGTCATTTCTTTTAATAAAGCTAGGGGAAAAAAGTATATGTGCTTAAATGTTAACTGTTATCTTTGAGTGCTGGGATTGGAGGTAACTAAAATTTGCCCATGTTTTCTATTGTGAACATGTATTATTTTGATTTAAAATATATTTTAAAAGTTACATTTAATTGAAAAATTTAACAGTTTTATGCAAATAAGAAACAACTCAGCCTCCAAATTCCAGGTTTAGATGGCAAGATTAAATCAGTAAATCTATAAACCAGTCAAATTAGAAAAATGCATTTAATCTTAATTTATTATAATGAAAAATATGTTGTAAAGAGGTTTAAAAAAAAACCAAAAACCAGAATTTGCAGACTCTATTTTAGCCAGTAACTTTAACCTTCTATTTCAAATGACTTTTTAAAAAATTTATTGAGCAAATTTGATTGATTCTTGCTTTTACTTAGGGTACTCCTCTATGTCTCATTTAATAGTTAACTATGAACCAAAGGAAAAAGCATGTGAGGCTGAACCTTAGGTTTGTATGTATAACTAGTGCTTCATGTTCTGGAAACTCATTTCTTCTAGGCAAATCGACAGCCTTCCAACTGTAATTCAGCCAAAATGTCTACTCCAGCAGACAAGGTCTTACGGAAATTTGAGAATAAAATTAATCTAGGTGAGTTGGTAAAATACATTTTCTGACGGGGCTAAGAAAAAATTCTTCAAAAACCATGAAATGTTATAAAATTTTATTAGATCAAGAAATGAATATATTCATTGTTACTGAAAGAATAATGCTCAGAGAAAATAAAAACAGTAATTTAAAAACATCGCTTCAAGGGAAAGACTTTAACTTATGCTTTTTTAGTTTTGTTTTTTTGCTTGTACAAATATGAATTTAGATACCAATTCAAGTTATTGTCTGTTTTGTTAGATTTTGTAGTAAGATTATCTCATAGTAGGATGTTGAAAATACTAGAATATTGAATATAATTATATTTTGTTTACTAGAGACTTTTCATGTAGACATTAATCATTTAGTGAGCTGCTGGATGCAAGGAATCATAATGTTGATTTGAGCTATCACCTCTTGAAAAATGCAAAGTGATCTTCTCTTGTAGACATTGACTTGTTATAAACCTAGCACAGCATCTTATATCCTATTATCACCTATCAAGGACTTTTAATTTGAAATGACATGGAAGTTTTTCGAATTAAACAGAATTCAGGCAGTTATATTATCTACATTAGTCATACTAAATAGTAAGTATCTGAAATTCAATGTATGAAGGTATGGTATTTTTGAAGGGTTTCTGGATCTAGATTTCTCTATAGCTCAAAAATTATATCTATAGTGATGAAAGTGACACTTATTCTTAAGGAAACACAACTTATTGCTTACCTTTAAAAACATTAAACATTTTTTTCATTGCTAAAATATATTCTATGTATAATAAAATGTTTAGAAAATAGAGAAGGAAGAGGGGAGATGTATTCTTTTTCAGAAAGACTTAATGTCTTTCTCTCTTACATATTGATTACATTGTGGGTTTTTTCTATTTTTAGATAAGCTAAACGTTACTGATTCTGTCATAAATAAAGTCACCGAAAAGTCTAGACAGAAAGAAGCAGATATGTAAGTAATATTTTATCTATAAAACATGGCAGATAGTGACTGACTGTATATACATTTAGCATCTTGGTCATAATTCTTTTGCAGAGGACGGTTCGTTGTTTTGTATATTGAAACTTTTCGTTGTATATTGAACCTTCTTTTTATTTTTATTTTTAGCTTAAATGGGGGTATTCTATGCCTTTGTAAGTTGAAAATATTAAATGAGTGTTAAGGAATAGATGGTAAAACTGTAAGCTTGTGAAATTTACAAATGTGCTCTCAGGAGGATAACAGTGTTTGTAAATTTCTGTTTAAATGTCTAAACTTAGGACATGGTTCCATAGTGTAGTGGTTAACACATCTGCATTACATGCAGAAGGTCCTGGGTTCGTGCCTCAGTGGAGCCATGGTCCATGGTCTACGGCCATGCCGCCCTGAACATCTGATCTCGGAAACTAAGCAGGGTCAGGCCTGGTTAGTACTTGGATGGGAGACCACCTAGGAGGATGAGGTGTTGTAGGCATAAATAATAATAAAAATGAATGTCTAAACTTAAAAGATTAAAATCTTAGAGCATAAAAATGCTCCTTTTTAGAATCTATTAAGAATTGTCCTCTTCCATGTTATATTTTTTAAAATTTAAGAGAAGATTTAAAACTAAATAGCAATGTAACTGAAAACAGTTTCCATTTATATTTCTATTCTCAACACCAGTTTTTTAAGATCTGGCTAATTTCTATATGTTAATAACTCTAAGGCATTATTAATACATTTTAGTCATACAATTAGCAGTGTTAGAACTGAACTTAAAAACCAATTTTCTTCTGAGTAGAAAACAATTTTCTTCTGGTTTAATGCTATGCCCAAGTGATAATAGCTTTTTGAGAAGTGCCATAGTCATTTGTTATTTCATTGAAGTGTCTGAATCTTTGCTTTTGAATCTTCACTAGTTTAGGTTAGTGTGCTAATCAAGTCACTTAGTAGTGTGAGTGGAAGCTAATCAGAGTCTGCATTTTAATAGTCTGCCATGATGAAGTAACTGCTTGAGCTAAAATCGACCTGAGAGGCTGCATTTTCTTACAGAACTCAGTCACTGTCTTGAAATGATGATGTCTTGTGTCTTTGTAGAAAAGGACTCTATAAAGAGAAAGCCTTATACATGACTTTAATTGTGTACTAATGCAATTATTAATGATTTGAAGGACAGTATAGGTTCAATGTTTTCTTTTTACCAGCATAGTTCACTTTATCCCATCTGTACTTTTAATCCTTCTAAAATGTGGATAGATTTTTTTTTCTTGCTGCCCATATGTTCTTTTTGCCCTAGAGAATTGAATTGCTTATTAAAGGGAAATTAAAGAAGTTTTGCTGATTGATGAAACTACACTGAGATCATGAAATCTATTATTAAAGAAACTACCAGCTTAGGAATTTAATAGAACTATATATATTAGAAACTTTTTATTTTGGCTTCTCTGACTGAATTTTGAATGTCACTTATACTTTTTTGTTTTTGGTTAGGTATCGCATCAAAGATAAGGCAGACAGAGCAACTGTAGAACAGGTACAATTTTATTATTATTCTATATTAGCTTCAGGTATACAGTACAATGGTTAGACATTTATATAATTTATGAAGTGATTCCCCTGATTACTCTTGCACTCATCTAGCACTACACATAGCCATTGCAATAATATTGACCATATTCCCTATGCTGTACTCTATATCCTTGTGACTTTTTTGTAACTACTAATTTGTACTTCTTTATCCCTTCACCTTTTTCACCCAGCCTCTCAACCTCCCTACTCTCTGACAATCACCACATTGTTCTCTGTATCTGTGAGTTGAACAGTACAATTTAAATGGGTTACAAGTTCTTGTTTAAAAGTAGCATTTCTTTTCTCTTTGAATTGTAGTTTGTTTTCATCTTTCTTGCTTAATGCTAATGTTGCCTGAAATTACTCCTATATAAAATTACTCCTTATCTACATTTAGATAAGTAGTATAGAGAGCTACATTTTGCTTTATTTATAATAGGACTATTAATAGACAAATTAAAGTCATGCTGCCCTCCGTGGCCCTGTGAAGCTACCATGCAATGCTTTCATCTTCTAGGGTGAAGCAGAACTGACTATAGGACCAGGAATCTTCCATCTTAAATAAAGTCTGCAGGAAATTTGTGATCTTTCCTGGAAGATCGGTCAGATATCTGCCACAAAGCAGGGTGATAGTTTGTGTGTGAGAGAGAGAGACAGATAATGCTTTAAAATTTTCAATTAGCATTCCCTTTCTTGGTTTAGAAATTATGCTTGTTTGACTCTTTCTATTCAACAATGCGGAAAAATCTGCCCCTAGTTTTCCCACACGTAGAGGGTTGTGATTGCATGTTAACATTAACCCAGATCTGTGATGTGAAGGAAGTGATTCAAAGGGTCAGAACATTGCTTTTGCCACCTACATCCTTCTCCCCACGGCATACACATGTATGAACACATTTTGGACTAGTAGCCTTTTCGATCTACAGATCCTTAATTTAAGACACAAGCACCCCTTCTATTGGTTACCTCAATTCCCAAGGGAGTAACACCCAACATCAGCTCTAGAATCATTTGCGCATTTAAAGAATTTCACATTTAGGCAGGTCTGGGATTTGTGTCTTCACTGTCCTATAATTTATTTATTTTGTGTTATTTTTTTTGTGTGTGTGTGTGCGATTGTAAACAAAATGTGGCTTTAATTTTCAAAAACCATCAAATAACTAGGCAGCAAATCCTTTTTCTTTTTTGAAATTAATTTTGAATGAGAGTATATATATTGAGTCTTAAGCTGTCTTTATAAAATATATTTGTAA